TGCGTCTGCACTCTGACAGAGGTGGGGAGTTTTCCTCCGACCTTCTGCAGAGCTTTTGTCGTGGGGAGGGCATTCGCCAGACGTTCACGCTTCCGGCCTCTTCGCAGCAGAATGGGGTTGCTGAGCGCCGCATTGGCTTGGTCATGGAGGTCGCTCGTACCTCCATGGTCCATGCGGATGCCCCCCATTTTCTGTGGCCGTTTGCGGTCCGCTACGCTGCGCATCAGCTCAACCTCTGGACCCGTGTCTCCTTGCCGGAGACCTCGCCCACACTGCGATGGACGGGGGAGTTTGACGATGGGTCGGTGTTCCGGGTCTGGGGTTCTCGTGCCTTTGTCCGCGATACCATCGCGGATAAGCTCTCCGCCTGGGCTGTTCCCTGTGTCTTCCTTGGCTTTGTCCCTGACGCGCCTGGTTGGCAGTTTTACCACCCCACCTCGCGCCGTGTCTTCCCCTCTCAGGACGTCACGTTCGACGAGTCGGTTCCCTTTTACCGTCTCTTCCCCTACCGCGCTGCCCCTCTCCCCCTCTGCCGCTCTTCCTCGCTCCAGGTGCTCCCCAGGTAGACCCCCTCCCCGCTCCCGGTCCTGCTCCTTCAAGTGTGTCTCAGGTAGACCCTCCTCCCTTGACTGCGCCGGTTGAGGTCACTGGTGACTCAGGTCCTACTGAGAGTGGTCCTGCTCGGGGTGCTGCTTCTGGGGGTGCTGAGCCTTGGGGTGCGGAGCCTAGGGGTGCTGAGCCTGGGGGTGCGGAGCCTGGGGGTGCTGAGCCTGGGGGTGCGGAGACTGGGGGTGCTGAGCCTGGGGGTACTGCGTCTGGGGGTGCTACACCTGGGGGCGCTTGGGCGTCTGGTGAGCAGTCTCCCTCGAGCGACCGTCTCCGTAGTCGCTCCGCTGGTGCCTCGCCGCTGCACTCTCGTCGTCGTCTCCCTCTCTCCCCACAGCAGCTGCGTGAGTGGTACGTTAGCCGTCAGGGTCGAGCTGCTGGAGCTGGGGGCCCTGCTGCGGGAGGCGCTGGTGTTGGAGGCACTGGAGCCGGCGCTTTCCCTGGGGGTGCGGAGCTTGGGGGTGCAGAGTCTGAACGTGAGGAGCCTAGGGGTGCTGAGTCTGGGGGTCCTGAGCCTGAGCGTGAGGAGATTGGAGGTACTACGTCTGGGGGTACTGCGCCTGTGCGTGAGGAGTCTGGGGGTGCTGAGTCTGGGGGTGCGGCGCCTGAGGGTACTGCAAGTGCTGGTGCGCGGTCTCCTTGGAGTGGCCACCTTCGTCCGCGTGTGCCTCTCACCTCCCAGCAGCTGCACGACTGGTACGGTCGCCGTCAGGTTCGCGCTGCTGGAGCTCGGGGCTCTGCCGCTGGAGGTGCTTCTGCTGACGCCACTGGAGCTGGGAGTGGTGCTGGTACTTTGTCTAGTGGGGGTGCTGGAGTTGCTGGTCCCGGAGGTGCTTGTGCTGGCAGTACTGGAGCTGCTGGGACTGGAGGTGCTGTGTCTGGGGGTGCTGCTGCTGGAGACACTAAGGCTGGAGACCCTGGGACTGGAGGTGCCGGTTTTGGGGGTGCTGCTGCTGGAGACACTGCGGTTGGAGACCCTGGGACTGGAGGTGCCGGTTCTGGGGGTGCTGCTGCTGGTGGAGCTGGTCCTGGAGGTGCTGGCGCTAGAGATTCTGGAGCTACTAGGGGCGTTGGAGCTGCTGGTGCTGGTGCCACAGCGCAGCTGAAACTGTTCTTCGCTCCGCCGTCTTCGTCGTCCCCGCCACCGCCTGACTCTGTGCTTCGCCAGGTTCTTAGCCTCCCGTCTTCTACTGGTCTTCCGTTGCAGCTTGGCTCCCCGCTGCCTGCTCCTTCTCCTTATGCCGAGCAGCCAGGGGGTCCTTTAGAGCGTCGTGAGCCTACGTCGCGTCCTGTCTCGCCTGTTCGTTCTGGTCGTACCAGTCGTCGTGTTGCTCGTCCGCGTTCGCCGGCTATCCCTGGCGCGCACCTCGTTGTCCGTCGTCCGTCCTCTGCTCCGCAGCGTGTTCCTCTGCCGTCTCCTCCTGAGTCCTCTCTGCCTGACGTTCCGGACCCTGAGTTTGACCGGTTTCGTGCTGAGCACCCTACTGTCACGCGTCTGTTAGCCACTGTTGTCACCGACCCGTCGTTTGAGTCTGCTGCTGCGTCTGCCTTGGTTGCTGAGCTTGTGGACTTTGCTGCTGCCTGTCGTCTAGACTACGCTACTAGTCTTGTTGCTGAGTCTGCGTCTGTCTGTCCTCCGTCTGTCGGGGGTGAGTGTGCTCTTGGCACTGACGTCCTTGAGGACAGACAGGAGGACCTTGAGTGTCTTGCAGCCGCTACGCCTCATCTCGTGGCCATGCTGCTTGCCCCTGAGGGAGACCCGGATGCACCAGACATCCCTACCCCGCGATCTTACGCTGAGGCGATCGCGGTTCCCTACTCCTCTCAGTGGCAGACAGCCATGGACGCAGAGATGGCATCCTGGAAGTCCACAGGCACTTACGTCGACGAGGTTCCCCCACCTGGGGCGAACATCGTCGATGGCATGTGGATTTTCAGGGTGAAACGGCCGCCGGGTTCTCCGCCTGTCTTCAAGGCTCGTTACGTTGCACGAGGCTTCAGTCAGCGAGAGGGAGTTGACTTCTTCCAGACCTTCTCCCCCACCCCGAAGATGACCACTCTTTGGGTACTGCTGCACGTTGCCGCTCAGCGTGACTACGAGCTTCACTCTCTGGACTTTAGCACAGCCTTCTTACAGGGTAGCCTGCACGAGGAGATCTGGCTGCGCCACCCACCTGGCTTCACTGGGACGTTCCCTCCTGGTACCCAGTGGAGCCTTCGGCGGCCAGTCTACGGTCTCCGCCAGGCGCCTCGTGAGTGGCACGACACACTGAGGACTACTCTTGCGGCACTTGGGTTTGCTCCTTCGACTGCTGACCCGTCGCTGTTTCTGCGCAACGACACTTCGCTGCCACCGTTCTACATCCTCGTGTACGTCGACGACTTGGTCTTTGCCACTGCTGACACTGAGGCTCTCGCCCTGCTGAAGTCGGAGCTGCAGAAGAGACACACGTGCACAGACCTGGGTGAGCTGCGTAGTTACCTTGGCTTGCAGATCACCCGGGACCGAGCACGCCGCACCATCACACTGACTCAGTCACACATGGTGCAGCAGGTCCTTCAGCGCTTCGGCTTCACCTAGTCCTCGCCACAGTTCACTCCTCTCGCTAAAGGTCACTCGCTCTCAGCTCCACCTTTGGACGAGTCTGTAGAGCCGAGTGGTCCTTACCCAGAGCTAGTGGGCTGCCTCATGTACCTGATGACCTGCACTTGTCCTGACCTTGCGTACCCTCTTGGCCTTCTGGCTCGCTACGTGGCTCCTGGTCGGCACCGAAAGGTGCACATGGATGCTGCAAAGAGGGTACTGCGCTACTTGTGCAGTACATCGGGTACGGGGCTCGTGCTTGGAGGGCGGAGTCCAGTTGTCCTCACTGGGCACTCAGACGCTTCTTGGGTTGACGACCTGGCTACGCAGCGGTCGTCACAGGGTTACACCTTCAGCCTTGGCTCTAGCTCTGTTTCTTGGCGGTCTACTCGCTCCTCTTCTGTTCTCGGCTCCAATTTTGAGGCTGAGATCTACGCCACAGCCATGGCTGCACAGGAGTTACGCTGGCTCACCTACCTGCTGACTGACTTGGGAGAGAGGCCTCGTTCTCCTCCAGTTCTGTACGTTGACAACAAGGCCGCCATTGCCTTGTGTCAGGAGCACAGACTGGAGCACAGAACGAAGCACATCGCTCTGCGTTACTTCCTGGCTCGAGAGTTGCAGCAGCGTGGTCAGCTTCGTCTTGCTCACGTGGCCACTAAGGCCAACACTGCTTATATATTCACCAAGGCACTTCCGTCTGGTGACCATCAGCGCTTTTGTACTTTGTTGGGCCTTGTGCCTACGTTTCCACACTTGCTGTAGACTCTGCTTGTACTGTGATCTATATATATATATGCCTGCATGTTTGCTCTTGCTAGGTAGTGATCACTGTACTGTTGTTGTTGCATATATGTCTCTGCATGTGAACTGGCCTTGTGGCCCTTTGCTTGTGCTCAGTGTGTGTGGTGACGTTGTGATCCACCCTGAGCTTGCTTTGCTTTTCTTGACTGGTCTTGTGACCCCTTGTTCTCCCCCACTTTGCCTAGGCTGTAGTGGGATAGCCAATATGGGGTACAACCCCTTTAGGGTTTGATACTTGTACCCAACTCTCATTCAATGCACTCATTCTTGCCTCTAGATTCTAACATTTTGTATGAGGATGTTTTACGCCAAAAGGCTTCTCTCTACGTTGAAGCGTGATACTATCCCACACACAGCAGCCCCATGGATGATGCACTGCGACATGACACGTGGTTTTACATGAATCACGTGCAGGGCCCAAAATATCAAGGTAAAACGCCCTTATTACCCTAGGGGCCGGCCGTTTTTTCAGGATTACCCTGCCAAAATCAGGAATGCAGGATAGTTACCCTTCTATAGAAATACCATGTTTTATTTCACCCTGATTGGTTTTTAGGTTAGCCTGACGGAATCAGGGTTTGGTGTACACTACCCTTTTACCGAAACTTTCCTAACACGAATCAGACCACAGTCCGCGTGGTGACAAAATGTACCACAACCCCACAAACACCAATTGTCGCTTGTGACCACGCGAAAAAAAAACTTGCTTCGCTGTCGGCAACGCGCCATGTTGCCTCATTTGTTGTTTCTCCTGCAGGGCTGCCAACTCATTTTCTAATCTTGCCACTCGTCGCCACGCCCACCGCCAACACATCAGAATTTGCTGTCAAGGATATGTTCAAGCTGTCCTTAACAACAGATTGCAGCAGCAGTCCTGCCTTGCTGGCCATGCACTTCCCGCCGCGTGGAAGAAACGACCCTTGAGAGGTAGCCAGGGGCTCGTTCTCTACGAGGGGGTCTCTCGCTCTCCCCTCATTCTCAACCATTCTCAACTTTCAGCTCCACAATGCCCACTGGAGAGCCTGATCCACCTGATGGCGTGAGAAATGGCCTCTCTATGTTGGGCGTTTTACAACGCCTTAGCGAGAACTACGCCGTGCCCATCGCTCAGCCGCCACCTCGTGAGCCGTCACCAGAATGTGTGGTAGGAACGGTCTATCCGTTCGAGCCGCCAGACTCACCCACAGCGTGGGAGCCACATCCTGACATAGAATTAGTTCCCGGAGGTGGCGAGGGCTCGTCAAAGCCGCCTACAGCTTTGCCTTCAACGGTCAGCACCGCGCCCGTCAAGCGACCGCGTGTGGGAGTTACGTACAAGCAGCAGACGCTCTGGGGCGCCCCTCCTCCCCGAAACGCTACTTCCCACAAGCGCCCTGCTCCTTCGGCCGATTCGAAGCCACCCACCGCTCTGGCGGATGCTGAGTATGAATCGGTGAAGAAGACGTTTGAGGGTCAGTGGGCAGGTAGCTTCAAGTGGTTACGTTTGCTCCGCATGTCTAACGGTCGTCCGTCTTTGAAGTGTGCGATTTGTGTGAAGCATGGAGATCCACTAGCGCACACCGCGTACGGGGCGAAGGGTGAGGGTGCTCGGGATCTCCAGATCGGCAACATCCGCACTCACACCTCCTCCCGTGCACACAAGCAGTCGTTGGAGAATCAGGAGAAGGCGGAGGCGGAGAAGGCGAAGCAGGCCACAATCACACGATGGCAGACCAGGGACGCTTCCACTCGTCACATCATTCGGCTCCTCCACATCGCGCACTTTGTCTGCAAGGCCGACGCACCCATAGCGATGTTCGTCCCGCTGTGTTGGTTTCTGGCGAAGGAGGGGTTACCAGACCTTCCTCCCGCTGGCGGCTATGGCGCGTACTACATAGAGTAAGTGGTGGCCTGAATTGGTGATACTGGTGTGTTCTTTATTATCCACTCTGGTATTTGACCACCTCTGTTGTCCCCTGGCAGTTACGGCTTCAAAGAGAACCTGCGCGCCCTCTCAACATACCTCCAAGAGACACAGCGCCTGCACCTGCTCGAATCCCCGTGGATAGGGATTCAACTCGACGAGAGCACGGACCGTGTGAATGGGAAACACCTCATTCTGTATGCCACGTTCTTCCAGCGCACCACGGTGGTTACAGAGTTCTTGCGGATGTGCTTTGGGAACTTAACTGCCTTAACCAGCAGCGGTAGGTAAGGGCCTTTGCTGCTGTCGTCTATGTTGTCGCATGCAAGCACGTTTACTACCTACCTCGCTGTCATGCCCTTGTGCAGGTGGACGTCACCCTTGTTGCGCACATCGTGCAGCAGACCCTGCACACCATTTCGGCAGCGGGGATAAAATGCAGCTTCCCGAGTTCATTCAGAGGCACGAGGCAAAGGATAAGCGCGAGATGAAGGCGGAGGGTGTAGACGGGGACGGGAATCCCGTCACGTTTGAGTTCACGCTGCACGAGCGCCCGCTGCCAGGACATGAAACGGATGGCGATGTCACGGCGTGCGTCGAGCTGTCGATTAAGTATGTGCGCGCCATCGATGCCGAGCTGGAGTGGCGGATGCGAGACCTGGAGCTGCTGGAAGGTTCGAAGCTGTTTCGCACAGCGTCATACGTGTCCGACGACACGAAGCGACTTGAAACCTTCAAGAAGTGGCTCGGCCAGCTGCACAAGTTGTACCACCACAAGCTGCCAGGTAAGCCTTGTGCAGCGATTGCACATGTTATGATGTGTGTTGTCGCAACGATGTCTGACATGAGGGTGACCAATGCACTTACTGCATATTGTTGCTTGTTGGACTAATGCCCCCCATCCCTACCCGTGTCTGCGAGCATCGGCCAAGCTTTCACCCCAACCCCGCCCCACCACAGGGTTCGACTACAAGAGAGCCCAATAGGAGCTGTGGATGTTTACATCCACAATGTTCGCCCAGCACAACAATGAAGAATTCCATCAGGCGCTGACGAACATGCTGCGGGATGATGCATGGCGTGTCTCCTTCCCCAACATCATGCGGATGTGGCAGTCAGTGACCGTGCTGCCATTGAGCACGGTTGAATGCGAGCGTGGCTTCTCGAAGCAGAATCTGAACAAGACTTGGGGACGTGGCAGCCTTGGCGACACAAGCCTAGAGCATCTGATGCGTTGCTCCCTGCTGCGGTACGATGTCGACTGGTTTGAGGTGGTCGCTATCTTTCGTGGAGAGAAGCTGAGGCGATCCACTAGGGAGTTCGACCCCACAAGAGCTTCGCAGACTCAGTTTGTAGAAGAAGATGTAGGCAGTGGGGGTGGCACTAGTGATTGTGTGGCTTCTGTAGAGTTCAAGGACTTTGGATGTGCTACGTTATTATGTTTTTATAAAGAACTTAGCTCACAAAACGGTAATCCAAACAGGCTTAGCCTAAAACTACCCTGCTCAAATCAGTCTAGTGGTAGATTTACCCTGCTGCCAACAGGGTACGGAAAATTTTACCCTAGGGGTCTGTTCAAGGAGGGGCTGGAACCCTGATTTGTAAGGGTAGGCCTAAACCAATTTTGGGCCCTGATCACATGTCAGAATGTTATACCGTGAACAAGCCCTCAGATTCGTTTTTGGCCTGTCTGATTCGTCAGACTAGTTCACAGTTTTAGTCTGAAACTCTCAGAGTTGGTATTAAAAAAAAGCTGAAATTTCAGAGTGTCTACAAAAAAAAGTCTGAACATTCGAAATCAATGTATTCAATGTTCATCAGAAATGTATTCAATGTTTCAATGCTTCATCTAATACTGAAACATGCTAGACTAAGGGGATTTCGGGAGAACATGCTCTGACGGCGAATCTGCAATGTCAGACGCGAATCTTGTGCCAGGGCGAATCTTGTGGTAATTGGGCGAATCTTGTGGTGACTGGGCAAATCTTGTGTTGAGAATGCTAGGCAGGAATGAATGCATTGAATGAGAGTTGGGTACAAGTATCAAACCCTAAAGGGGTTGTACCCCATATTGGCTACCCCACTACAACTTTCACAAATATAGCATGCATATAGTTTGACACACCCCCATAGGCAAAGTGGGGGAGAACAAGGGGTCACAAGACCAGTCAAGAAAAGAAAAGCAAGCTCAGGGTGGATCACAACGTCACCACACACACTGAGCACAAGCAAAGGGCCATAAGGCCAGTTCACATGCAGAGACATATATGCAACAACAACAGTACAGTGATCACTACCTAGCAAGAGCAAGCATGCAGGCACATATATATAGATCACAGTACAAGCAGAGTCTACAACAAGTGTGGAAACGTAGGCACAAGGCCCAACAAAGTACAAAAGCGCTGATGGTCACCAAACAGAAATGCCTTGGTGAATATATCAGCAGTGTTGGCCTGAGTGGCCACGTGAGCAAGACGAAGCTGACCACGCTGCTGCAACTCTCGAGCCAGGAAGTAACGCAGAGCGATGTGCTTTGTTCTGTGCTCTAGTCTGTGCTCCTGACACAAGGCGATGGCGGCCTTGTTGTCAACGTACAGAACTGGAGGAGAACGAGGCCTCTCTCCCAAGTCAGTCAGCAGGTAGGTGAGCCAGCGTAACTCCTCTGCAGCCATGGCTGTGGCGTAGATCTCAGCGTCAAAACTGGAGCCGAGAACAGAAGAGGAGCGAGTAGACCGCCAAGAAACCGAGCCAGAGCCAAGGCTGAAGGTGTAGCCCTGTGACGACCGCTGCGTAGCCAGGTCGTCAACCCAAGAAGCGTCTGAGTGCCCAGTGAGGACAACTGGACTCCGCCCTCCAAGCACGAGCCCCATGCCCGATGTACTGCACAAGTAGCGCAGTACCCTCTTTGCAGCATCCATGTGCACCTTTCAGTGCCGACCAGGAGCCACGTAGCGAGCAAGAAGGCCAAGAGGGTACGCAAGGTCAGGACGAGTGCAGGTCATCAGGTACATGAGGCAGCCCACTAGCTCTGGGTAAGGACCACTTGGCTCTACGGACTCGTCCGAAGGTGGAGCTGAGAGCGAGTGACCTGTAGCCAGAGGAGTGGACTGTGGCGAGGACCAAGTGAAGCCAAAGGGCTAAAGGACCTGCTACATCATGTGTGACTGAGTCAGTGTGATGGTGCGGCGTGCTCGGTCCCGGGTGATCTGCAAGCCAAGGTAACTGCGCAGCTCACCCAGGTCTGTGCACGTGTGTCTCTTCTGTAGCTCCGACTTCACCAGGGCGAGAGCCTCAGTGTCAGCAGTGGCAAAGACCAAGTCGTCGACGTACACGAGGATGTAGAATGGCGGCAGCGAAGTGTCGGTGCGTAGAAACAGTGACGGGTCAGCTGTCGAAGGAGCAAACCCAAGTGTAGTCCTCAGTGTGTCGTGCCACTCACGAGGCACCTGGCGGAGACCGTAGACTGGCTGCCGGAGGCTCCACTGGGTACCAGGAGGGAACGACCCAGTGAAGCCAGGTGGGCGTCGCAGCCAGATCTCCTCGTGCAGGCTACCCTGTAAGAAGGCTGTGCTAAAGTCCAGAGAGTGAAGCTTGTAGTCACGCTGAGCGGCAACGTGCAGCAGCACCCGAAGAGTAGTCATCTTCGGGGTGGGGGAGAAGGTCTGGAAGAAGTCAACTCCCTCTCGCTGACTGAAGCCTCGTGCAACGTAACGAGCCTTGAAGACAGGCGGAGAACCCGGCGGCCGCTTCACCTTGAAAATCCACATGCCATCGACGATGTACGCCCCGGGAGAGGGAACCTCGTCGACGTAAGTGCCTGTGGACTTCCAAGATGCCATCTCTGCGTCCATGGCTGTCTGCCACTGAGAGGAGTAGGGACCCGCGATCGCCTCAGCGTAAGAGCGCGGGGTAGGGATGTCTGGTGCATCCGGGTCTCCCTCAGGGACAAGCAGCATGGCCACGAGATGAGGCGCAGCGGCCGCAAGACACTCAAGGTCCTCCTGTCTGTCCTCAAGGACGTCCGTGTCAAGAGCACACTCACCCCCGACGGACGGAGGACAGACACACTCAGACTCAGCAACAAGACTAGCAGTGTAGTCTAGACGACAGGCAGCAGCAAAGTCCACAAGCTCAGCGACCAAGGCAGATGCAGCAGCAGACTCAAACGATGGGTCAGTGACAACAGTGGCTAGCAGACGCGTGACAGTAGGGTGCTCAGCACGAAACCGGTCAGACTCAGGGTCCGGAACGTCAGGCAGAGAGGACGCAGGAGGAGACGGCAGAGGAACACGCTGCGGAGCAGAGGAAGGACGACGGACAACGAGGTGCGCGCCGGGGTCAGCTGGCGAACGCGGGCGACTGGTACGACCAGAACGAACAGGCGAGACAGGACGTGACGCAGGCTCACGACGCTCAGCAAGACCCCCTGTCTGCTCAGTGTAAGGAGAAGGAGTAGGCAGCGGTGAGCCAGGCTGTAACGGAAGACCAGTAGAAGACGGAAGGCTAAGAACCTGGCGAAGCACAGAGTCAGGCGGTGGCTGAGACGACGGAGACGGCGGAGCGAAGAACAGTCGCGGCTGTGTAGTGCCACCAGCACCAGCAGCTCCAGCACCTCCAGCAGCTCCAGCACCTCCAGCAGCTCCAGCACCCCCAGCAGCTCCAGAACCTCCAGCGCCAGCACCTCCAGGACCAGCTCCACCAGCAGCAGCACCCCCAGAACCGGCACCTCCAGTCCCAGGGTCCCCAGCCTCAGTGTCTCCAGCAGCAGCACCCCCAGACACAGCACCTCCAGCCCCAGCAGCTCCAGTACCTCCAGTACGAGCACCTCCAGGACCAGCGACTCCAGCACCTCCAGTAGACAAAGGACCAGCACCACTCCCAGCTCCAGCGACGTCAGCAGAAGCACCTCCAGCGGCAGAGCCCCGAACTCCAGCAGCGCGACGCAGACGGCGACCGTACCAGTCGTGCAGCTGCTGGGAGGTGAGAGGCACACGCGGACGAAGGCGGCTACTCCAAGGAGACCGCGCACCGGCAGGCTTAGTACCCTCAGGCGTCGTACCCCCAGACTCAGCACCCCCAGACTTCTCACGCACAAGCTCAGTACCTCCAGACGTAGCACCCCAGGCGTAGTACCTCCAAGCTCCTCACGCTCAGGCTCAGCCCCTCCAGGCTCCGCACCGTCAGGCTCCTCACGCTCAGGCTCAGCACCCCCAGACTCCGCACCCCTAGGCTCAGCACCTCCAGACTCAGCACCCCCAGGCTCAGCACCCGCAGGCTCAGCACCCCCAGAGACAGCACCCCGAGCAGGACCACCCCCAGCAGGACCTGAGTCACCAGTGACCTCAACAGGCGCAGGCACGGGAGGGTCTACCTGAGAGACACCTGAAGGAGCAGGACCTGGCGCGGGGAGGGGGTCTACCTGGGAAGGACCTGGAGCAAGAAAGAGCGGCGGGGGGAGGCGAGGGGCAGTGCGGTAGGGAAAGAGACGGTAAAAGGGGACTGACTCGTCAAAGGTGACATCTTGAAACACAAAGCGACGGTGCGAGGCGGGGTCGTAAAACTGCCAGCCAGGTGCGTCAGGAGGAAAACCAAGGAAGACGCAGGGAATGGCGCGAGCGGAGAGCTTGTCCGCGGTGGTATCGCGGACAAAGGCACGAGCACCCCAGACCCAGAAACGCGACGCATCGCCAACCTCCCCCGTCCACAGCAGTGTGGGCGAAGTCTCCGGCAAGGAGACACGGGGCCAGAGGTTGAGCTGATGCGCAGCGTACCAGACCGCAAACGGCCACAGAAAATGGGGGGCAGCCGCATGGATCATGGAAGTACGAGCGACCTCCATGACTAAGCCAATGCGGTGCTCAGCAACCCCATTCTGCTGCGGAGAGGCCGGAA